GGTGGCGCAGGACGCATGTGGTCACAACCACTGGAGCTTTCGGTGGAGCTCCCACTGGGGCCGCGAAGCGCTGTACTCTTCGGCGTCGGACGTATGTGGTCACTGCCTGTGGGGCCTTCGGTGGAGTTCCCCATGGGGCCGCGAAGCTCCGTACTGGGTGGCGTGGGACGCATGTGGTCGCAGTCGCTGGAGCTTTCTGTGGAACTCCCTATGGGGCCACGAAGCGCCGTACGTGTGGCGCGGGATGCATGTGGTCAGAGTCACTGGGGCCTTCGGTGGAGCTCCCTAAGGGGGCACGAAACGCCGTACTGGGTGGCGCAGGACGGATGTGATCACAGCCACTTGTAAGGCTAAAAAGCTGTACTCTGCGGCGCGGGACGCACGTGGTCACAGCCACTAAGGCCGGGACGCATGTGGTCACAGCGACTGGGGCCATCGGTCAAATTCCCTATGGGGCCGCGAAGCGCCGTATTGGATGGCGCGGGACACATGTGGTCACAATCGCTGAGGCCTTCGGTGGAGCGCCCTATGAGGGCACGATAAACCAAAGTGGGTGGCGCGAGACGCATGTAGTCACAGCCACTGGGGCCTCCGGTGGAGTTCCCTATGGGGCCACGAAACGCCGTACTTGGTGGCGCGGGACACATGCGGTGACAACCATTGGGGCCTTCGGTGGAGATCTTTATGGGGCCACGAAACGCCCTACTGGGTGGCGCAGGACGCATGTGGTCACAGCCACTGGGGCCTCCGGTGGAGCTCCCCATGGGGGCACGAAGCGCCGTACTTGGTGGCGCGGGACGCATGTGGTCACAGCGACTGGGGCCTTCGGTGGAACTCCTATGGGGCCACGAAGCGCCGTACGTGTGGCGCGGGATGCATGTGGCCAGAGTCACTGGGGCATTCGGTGGAGCTCCCTAAGGGGGCACGAAACGCCGTACTGGGTGGCGCAGGACGGATGTGATCACAGCCACTGAGGCATTCGGTGGAGCTCCCTGTGGGGCTAAAAGGCTGTACTCTGCGGCGCGGGACGCACGTGGTCACAGCCACTAAGGCCGGGACGCATGTGGTCACAGCGACTGGGGCCATCGGTCAAATTCCCTATGGGGCCGCGAAGCGCCGTACTGGATGGCGCGGGACACATGTGGTCACAACCGCTGAGGCCTTCGGGGCACGAAGCGCCGTACGGGGTGGCGCGGGACGCATGTGGTCACAGCTTGTGGGCCTTCGGTGGAGCTCCGTATGGGGCCATGAAGCGTTATACTGGGTGCGGAGGGCAGAGGCAGGGCTGGGAGGAGGGCGGGGGAAGGAGGAGTGGAGAGGAGAGGAAAGGAGACACGGGGTGCTGTCTCTTCAAAACGCGGACCCAACACCACAGGATGGTTGGGGGCAAAAACCGTATTATTCGCCGCACGCAGTCGTTAACGAGAGCAGCAGCTGCACGGATGGAGGGCGGGTCGTTTTCAACATGGGGCTCTCGCATTGACGCCGCGCACTTGTGTTTTCAAATCAGTGTTCCAACCGCTGTACGGACGGATGGCAGGTCGTTTTCAAGATGGGGCTCTTGCCCGACACTGCCTCAACGCGAGCGACTTGAGGTCCAATCTTGCGAAACGACAGCGCGAGCAGAGAGCGGCCATCTCTCGGCATGGGGCTCCCGCTCTCCAGGGAAGCCGCTCAGGCTACGTTACCCTTCTCTCGTATCCTCCTCCTCCTCCTCCTCCTCTTCCTCCTGCTTCCCTTACTCGAACGGTAGGCATGTGCCTGGTGTCCCTTTCAACATCTCATTTCCCGCCGCTGCTTGTGGCTTGGACACAAGCCTGCAGAGCCCCGTGCCCATTTGAGTTGCGCTCCCGCTTCTGGGACCTCGCCGGGCTTGCCCCACCACGAGCTGCAGAGGGTGTGCAGCAGTCGCGCCACGGATGCGGGGGCGGTTGCCCTTCGGAGCGGGGCTGCCGTTGGACCCCTCCTCGAGACGTGCGGCCCCGCCTCGCCGCGGTCCCTGCGAGCTCGAAGGCTGGAGGGTGGCTCCTCTCGGGGGCGGCAAAGAGGGGGGCGTCCAAGAGGGGGGGGGTGGACATCATGGCGTGGGCCATCAAATTTCCCCAGGTTTCATTGCGCCTCTTCTTGTTTCCTTACGTCCCTGGCCTCCCCGCCGGGCCGCGCACGTGCCGCGGGTCATGATTTGCACCCCCCCCCCTCTTGGACACCCCCCTCTCGCGCAGCGAAGGCGAGTGCGCGAAGGGGGCCTCCGAGGAGAGGGCGGGCGTCGCAGCATCGCTGCTGCATCTTGGGTTTGCTCTGGCCCGCCTGCGCCGACTCGTCCTGCGTGCCGCTGCTCCTCCCGCCTCCTTCGCCTCCCCGTTCCTCCCCTTCCTGGTGTTGCTGATCTTCCTCCCTCTCCCACGCCTCCACCCCGCATCCCCCTCCCCGCCCCCCCCCCTGCTGCTTCCTCTCCACTCCTCGGCACCGCCCAAGCATGCTGACGCTGTGCGCGCGTCGCCCCTCCCCCCCCCCCCGGGGGCGACGCGCGGGCCGAGCACTCCTGCAGTGCAAGCTCCGTGGCGGGCGTTTCCTGGCCGTACCTCTCGGGAGACGATATGCTACAAGATGCTTGTACTAGATGTTCGGGTCAAGCGTGCGCCTCTGACAGAGGCACACAGTACTGGTACGTCTCTGTGCGTCCCATCTCCACGAAGCGGAGCAGGATGACGGACAGCAGCGGGAGCAGGAGGAGGAGGAGGAGGAGGAGGAGGAGGGGGAGGAAGGGAGGCGCCAAGGGAGGGGGAGGATGGGGAGGGGGAGGGTGAGAGGGGGCGGATGATGGAGGATGAGAAGGAGGAGAAGGAGGAGGAGCAGGACAAGAAGGAGGAGGAAAAGGAGGAAGAGGAGGAGCAGGATGAATGATAAGGATGAAGATGGTGATGATGATGATGGTGATGGTCATGATGCTGATGCTGATGCTGAGGATGATGTTGCTGCTGATGATGATGATGATGCTGATGATGCTGCTGATGATGATGGTGATACTGATGATGACGATGATGGTGATGATGATGACGAGAACGATGATGATGGTTGTGCTGATTTTGAAGGTGACGATACTGATCATGATCATGATGATGGTGGTCATGATGATGATGGTGACGATGCTGACGATAAGTATGCGCATGATGATGAGGGTGAGGATGATGAGGAGGATGAGGCTGATGATGATGACGACGATGATTATGGTGATGATGCTTGTGATTGTGATGATTATGATGAGGATGAGTATGATGATGGTGGTGATGATGATGGTGATGATGCTGACGATGATGCGGCTGCTGCTGCGGCTGCTGCTGCTGACGACGATGACGAGCATAATGATTATGATGATGATGAGGATGATGAGGATGATGATGATGATGATGACGATGATGCTGATGATACCGATAATTATGAGGATGATGACGACGATGCTGATGATGACGACGACGATGCTGATAAGTATGATGATAACGATGGTAACGATAATGATCGTGCTGGTAATGATGATGCTGACGATGAGGATGCTAATGCTGATGCTGGTGCTGATGCTGATGCTGCTAATGATGATGTTGCTGATGATGATGGTGATGGCGATGGTGATGATGATGTTAATGCTGTTGGTGGTGATGATTATGATTAAGACGATGGTAATGATGATGCCGATGATGATGATGATGATGATGATGATGATGATGATGATGCTGATGATGATGATGATGGTGGTGATGGTGATGCTGCTGATGATGGTGATGGTAATGCTGATGCTGCTGATGATGATGGTGGTGATGGTGATAATGATGGCAGTGATGATGATGCTGATGATGATGGTGATGACGATGATAATGATGGCGATGTTGTTGATGATGATGATGATGGTGATGCTGCTGATGATTATGATGATGATGGTGGTGGTGATGTTGAACTTGGTGATGCGATGCTGCTGATACTTATGATGATGGTGGTAGTGATGATGATGATGATGATGCTGATGCTGATGCTGATGCTGATGATGATGATGCTGCTGATGATGATGATTATGATGATGACGATTACGATGATGATGATGATGATGATGATGATGATGATGATGATGATGATGCTGCTGCTGCTGCTGATGATGATGATGATGATGATGATGATGATGATGATGATGATGATGATGATGATGATGGTGGTGGTGGTGGTGGTGGTGGTGGTGGGTGGTGGTGGTGAGGAGGAGAGGAGGAGGAGGAGGGAGGGATAGGAGGAGGATAGGAGGAGGAGGATAGGAGGAGGAGAGAGGAGAGGAGGAGAGGAGGAGGAGGAGGAGGAGGAGGAGGAGGAGGAGGAGGAGGAGGAGGGGGGAGGGGGGAGGAGGAGGAGAGGCCGCGGAGACCCACCGAGTGATGCAGGACCCCGCCCCCTTCCTCGGCACCCCCCCTCGCCGCTCTTCTCCGCCTCGGGCAGCTCCCACGGCGGCGGCGCACGCGCCGCGGGAGCGTCGCGCGAGCGGACAAATCGGCGCCGCTGACCACGCGCGCGCGGGCGAGCGCAGCCCGCGGCGCGAGGGCGGCCGCCCGGTCCAGCGCCCCGCGCGCGCGCCGATCCGCGCGCGCGCGCGTCGCGCGAGCGTCGGGCGCGCTCCCGTGCGGGCGCTCGTGCGCGCGTGTGCGCGCGTGTGCGCGCGTGCGGTTCCAGAGGCTTGGCATCGCTCGGACGTGTGAATTTTTCCTTCGGCGATGACCATCGAGGAGCATCCTTGACCATTTGTCGAACAAAAACACGCACGAAACCTAAAAAGACACAGGGAATGGACGTCCGAGCGATGGCAGTGAGGTGCCCACACCCTGCGGATGCATAATCGTCCTCGCCTCCACGAAGGCGGACCACCATCCTGCCCCTGCCCGTGCTCGAGTACCACCGCTGGCTGCATCCCACGTGGCGCGTCGCAGGGGAAAGCGCGCGCGCGTGCGCACACTGCCCTCGGACGCCAGGAGCCGCCCGAGCCCTCCCACGACTCCACGGCGCTGGCGCGGCTGGCGCGGCTGGTGTCGACAACGGGCAGGCCGCCGCCGCAGGCGCGACCCGTCCGCTCGCTCACCCTCCAGATGGACGGCGGCGGCGACGACGTTGACGATGGCCACCCAGATCTCCGACGGTCTAATTCTTGTTCCATCCGGGCGCCTTTCCTCGAAGCCTTTCCGCTGGTCCTTCGCAGCCCTTTCCAAACCTCCTTTTAGGAGCTTGCAAGCTCCCCAGGCATGTTCCCGGATGCAGTCGGCCCAGATTCGTAGGTCGACCCTGCCGAATCAAGGGTGCCCTCGTGTCCTGTGTGTCTCGCGACCCTGTAGGTCCTTGGAGAGCCAGGAGGGCTTCGAAGGAGAGGAGGCCGGAGCCGCAGGGTGGGCCCGAAGCTCGTGCTGGCTGCCCTGCGTGCCGGCCCCCGGGCCCCGCTGTCGAGCCCCGGGGCCTGCGGAAGAGGCCCGAGGAGGAGAGCTACGCTCGAGGCAGTGGTGGGGACCTTCGTTGCCTCGACACGCGCGTTTTGAAGTGCAGCACGTCCCGTGTTCAAGACGTCCGTGTCAATACGTTGCGTGTTGGCTCCACGCATCGGGCCACGTTTTGGCGAACGTATCGCGTCGGACCTGCGTTTTCGGCCTGCGTGTTGAGCTCCGTATCGATACGATACGTGTTGCGTGTTGCGTATCGGGGTAGCTAGAATGGGGACCTCCTGGGGTTCATTCGGGCGTGTCCCTCTACAGGAGGACTCTACAAGAATAGTTAAGAAATGGTCTGGGGACGATTTTCCTTGTTTGACTATGTGTGAGCCTGTTCGGACTATTTGTTATTTGTCCTCCACACTCCGCCCAATCCTGGGGTCGCCCGTGGAATCAAATCGACGACGGCAAATGCCCGCTTCTGCAGAGGCTGCCAGGAGTTTTCGGGAGCTTGCTCGGAGCTGCTCGGCGGCGGGTTCGTGCTGTGTCTCACCGCACACCAAAACACCCCAACCCAACCCGAAGGCCCCGATTTGCTCTCCATTTCCAGTGGGGGGGGCGGTCGGGGAACATTGAGAAAACACATGAAGCCCGTACACCCCCTCGAATCCGAAATTCGGGTCTTCGTGTTGGGTTGGGGTGGTCTGGCAGGTAGTCAGTGTCGACGCGGCGGCGACCACAGTGCTGGCGCAAAGCACTGCCCAGTCGATCCCCGCAAATGCACGAACATAAACCTTCGGACGTCCACGCGGATTCCTTGGATCGGCGCTGGGCATCCGTGGCGGCGCCTCCGGCGCCGCCCCTGGCGCGTTCCGCGCGCCAGGGAGGGGTGGGGGCAGCTCCGATACAGTAACATTCGCGACGACCTTAGAAAGCTTCTGGTTGTGCCGAGATTTCTTCTTCTATGTGCGACCACTTGCGAACCCTACCCCTACGGGTCCAATTGACGCTGGGGTACCGGACACCCCTGCTGGGGCGTACTTGGCTGCAGACAACCATCGAATTCTGAATGCCAGCTGGCGTCTCAGAAATTGGACTTGCCGGGATAAGGTTAGCATGTAGTTGCCTACAAGGTTGAAGCGCCGCCAGCCTGGAATCGGCCGATATTTAACGATTCGCGTTGTCAGAAAGCCGCGATCGTTCAAGGCTGAACGATCCGCGCGGTGCCACGAGCCGACGCAGAAGTCGCCACGATACGCACTTGCCGTAGGCATTGGGGGTTTATTCTTTAGACTCAGAAGTCGCCACGACACAAATTGCCGCAGGTAGTTGGGGTTGTCCTTGTTTGATGGTGGCCTCCTGAAGGCCACCCCGAGGCTTCCGCAACGCAAGCTGCTGGCGACCCGAACAAGTCGCGCCCAAGGCTTCTCGAGATTTCTGGCGTTGAGGGGGGTGGCCGTTTTGTGGGCCCTGGGGCTATCAAGAAATGGCTCGGACCAAGAAGCTGGCCCTTGGGGGAGGCGTCAGTCCTAGGACTGGCGATCCGAAGGGTTCTCGAGATTTCTTCGTCGTCGGGGGGCGGGGGAGGGGGGCGTTTTGCGGGCCCTGGGCAATCGAAAAAATGGCTCAGACCAAGAAGCCGTTCCCTGGGGCAGGGGTCGTGAGCTTTGGGACCGGCGGCTCTAAAAGCTCGAGTGCAGGGTTTAGCCCACGGGCTCGCAGATGTACGCAGAGAATTCCGAAGACGTCGTGAAGATGCGGCGCGAGTCGCTGAGCCCTCAACGGGAGGAGTCGGCCACAGGTAAGAGTGAACCTGTGCGGGGAGCGACCTTTGGTGTGCTGCTTCCGGGGGGCCACGGGGGAGCCAAACCCCAGGACGGAGGCCACCTACTGCCGCGCCGCATGTAGCGCTCTCCGAGCCGCGCACCAAACGAGAGGCCCCTCTTTTCTCGTGGGATTCGCGGAGTCGCCTGTATCCTGTGGCTCCCGCAGGCTCGAAGCCCGTGCATCTGGCTGCTACCGGTCCTCTGGACGGGAGCCCAAGCGGCCACCGCGAGAAACACGGTGCTCGTGACTGTCCCTCCCACCTACCCCTAGCGCCTCCTGTGGGCCCTGCCCATCTTCGCAGGTCCCTCGGTGGCCCCTCCTGCGCGCAGCCGGCGGAAGAGCGACGGCCCCGCGCGGCGCCAGGCCCGTGCCCCGTCGCCGCTCTCCCCGTCGGAGTCGCCTGCGGCGGCGGCGCCCCCCCCGGCGCGCGGGGCGCCTGCGCGACGCCGTGGGCCCCCGGCCACGTCGCCCTCCGCTTCGGAGTCGCCCGCGGCGGCGGCGGGCCCGGGGCCGCCGCGCGCGGCGGCGCCTCCGCCGGCGCGGGAGGCGCCGCTCCCCCGCGGGGTCAGAGGGTCGATGGGGGAGGCCGAGGCTGCGAGGGCATTTTGCGGATGCGTGAGAGCAGCAGCGCTTGTTCGCCACGTCTATATGTGTACGCGCGTCTGCACGTGTGTGTGTGTGTGTGTGCGCACGGTAGTGCACGGGTAATGATGTACATTCAGGTGCGCATGTACGAAGGCAAATATGTATACGTATGCATGTTTGGAAGAGCTCGCTGCGGGCGATGCGAAAAACAAAAGGGGGGGCCCAGCTTCAATCTACCTCTCCCCCTCACCCTTCCACCAGGGGTTGGGGCTTCCGAAGCTACCCCAACCTGGGAAACTGAGGGGTGGGCTTCCAGAAGCCCCCCTCCCCCCCCCCGGGCCCCCCTTCCTGTTGGTGCCAGGGTAAGCTCGGGCTGCCCTTTGCAAAGGGGGGGCGGGCTTTGGAAGCTAACCCTCCCCCCCCTCTAAGGGGGCGGCGGTTCGGAAGCTCCCCCCCCGCTCCTTTCTGGGTCCTGGGTTTCCAAGGTAAGCCAGAGCTCAGCTTTCCAGCGGGGCGGGGGCTTCCGAAGCTACCCCCCTCCCACTCCTTTGCGAAGCTGGGAGAGGAGCAGCAGGAGGAAGAAGGGTGGTGGGTGGGAGGAGGCAGGAGGGAGGAGGGAGGAGAAGGAAGGGTAGGTTGGAGGAAAGGGGAGGAGGGAGGAGGAGGGAGGAGGGAGGAGGGGAAGGTGGGAGAATCGGAAGGAGGACGAGGAGGAAGCGGAGGACGGGGAGGAGCGAGGAGGAGAGGTGGAGGACAAGCGGGGAGGTGGAGCAGGCGGGCGTGCGGGCTGGCAGGCGGGCGACCCAGCGGGCGGGCGCGCGTTCGGGCGGGCGCGCGCTTCGGCGAGCGGACACGCGCTTCGGCGGGCGGGCGGGCGAGCGAGCAGACACGCGCGCGCTGGCCGGCGGGCGGGCAGGCGTCATCGTCGTCTTCGTCGTCGTCGTCGTCTTGGTCATTGCTGTCGTCGTCGTCGTCGTCGTCGATGTCGTCGTCATCGTCGTCGTCGTCGTCGTCAACGTCGTCGTCATCGTCGTGGTCATTGTCGTCGGCGATGTCGTCAAAGCCCCAGGCCGACCCCAGAATAATGATATTGAATTTAGTCTTGTTTCGCTTGGGTAAGTCCAGGGTAACCCTGGAATTACCAGACAAACCACAGAAGAAGTAGCTAATCGATAGGGTTGAACAGTCTTCGGCGCCGTGTCATAGGTATGTTCGTTGTGGCAACTCCCCGCTCTTGACGAACCTTGTTTTTTTCTGTGCAGCCTTACCCGGGCGGTGGCCGCACCATGCGCCAGAGGACAGAGGCGTTCGATCTGAAGAATTACCCAGACAGCCACAGTGACAGCCCCGAGCCGCCAATGATCAAGTTTCGGCAGGAGAGCTCATGCATAGTTTTTGTGGTGGATTGCCAGCCGCTTGCAGACATTCCATGCTGGCATACACCATTGAACAATAACAACCTTGTTCCAATTTTCGGTCGTATCACCTCCTCCCTGTGCTGCTTCTTCCAGAACGGGCTGACGCCGCCGTGCATGGTTTCCGACCCGGTTGTATGGCACCAGAGGGGATCGTATAGCACAGGAGGGAACACAATCGAATAGCAGCTTTTATAGTTAATCACACAATCGAGTTGGGACAGAGCTGGCTCAAAGAGGTGCCGCCGGCAACCCTAGATTTTTCTCCGTGCGAGGCGAATTTTATCTGCCACTCCGACGGCGGAACTCGGACACAAAGTTGCTCTGCTTCTGGCTGGGTGTTAGAGCCGATTGTCACGCCAGCCTGATACAATAACACCTTCCCAGTCGCTTTCCGAGGAGTGTATTTTCAGCACCCTGTTTCATCCTTCGCTGCTGAAGCGGTGGCGCTCGATGACGCCATCCAGTACTTGTCTGGAGTTTTTTCAAAACATTGGTCTGCCAAGCGTGCCCGAAGTTTTCAATCAAGATTTAGCTTCCAATGTGGGTTGTACCTGTATTCGTATTGTAAAACTGTCTCTAGTATCCTTGGCCTGTCACGGTGGGTGGTCAGAAGCGTCGGGCAGAAAACAGAGGAGGAGGCGGAGGAGGAGGCGGAGGCGGAGGAGGAGGAGGAGGAGGAGGAGGAGGAGGAGGAGGCGGAGGCGGAGGAGGAGGAGGCGGAGGAGGCGGAGGAGGAGGAGGAGGAGGAGGAGGAGGAAGAGGGGGAGAGCCTCTGTCCCTTGGGCATGCAGGAGGCGGGGCCCCGAGGCTCCCCTTCGGCCGCAGTTGCCCACGTCTCGGAGCGGTGCCCGCGCGCGAGGGCCGTCGTCCCCCGCGGCGCCGGCGCGCGCGTGGGGGGGGGGCAGGCGGCCGCCGCGCCGTCGTCCTCGCGGCGGCCGCTGGGAGCAGCCAGGCCGCGGGGCGGCTCGGTGCCCTTGCCCACCCCGTGCTTGGAGAGTGCAGTCAGGGCGCTGAAGAAGGAACCCTTCTCTTTGGGGAGGGACTCGGTGTTCCTTCATTTGTTGAACAGTTTGGCTCGGGTTTTCCTGAGGTCTTCGACGGGAAATCCAAGCTTAACTTTTGGGATCAAGGGGCCTCGTTCCTTATTCAAGGTTCCTTAGGTCAACGCCCCGACTGTATGTATGAGGCCACCCGCCCCTGGAGGTGCACGTGGGGAAGGAGCCTCTCTGGTTTGCATGCCCTGCTCCCATGGGGAAGCTCCGAGCATGGCCACGACAGGATCGGCGGCTAGTGGGGGGGCTCGGACGTGCGCACGTTTTCTCGGCGCGGACCACGGAGGAGCATCTTGGGTCATCTTGCGACGACGTGAGCGCACGAGGGCGAAACACTGCACGGGGAACAGGTGCCCGAGCGACGGCAAGAGGGGGAGGGAGGATTGCGGCGACCGTGGCCAAGACGTCGCGGGATCCTGGGCGCGTCGCCGACTCGGTGTGACTCAGATCGGCAGCGACGTCTCCGCGCACAGCGTTGGTCACGTTTTCTTCCCCTCCGCCAGGGGTGGGGAGCACCCGCCCCCCAAATCGCCCAGCCGCCGCCGCCCGGCCAGGAGCGCGTTCGGTTGGGTGCTGCAGCCGTGCCTGGGCCGAGGTGCCTGCAGATCGTCGTTCCACGCTCGGTGCCCCAAGGGCCTCTGGGTGGGCCTCACGAGGGGCGCTCTGGAGGCCGCGGGGGCCTCCTTGGGAGCCCTGAGGACACCCTGTGCCGGGGACGCCGCTGGCACCACCCGCCGCCAGGCCCACCCCCCCTCTGACCGGGCCGGGCGAAAGGGGGGGATAGGGAAAGGGGGGGTGACGAGATCTGCTGCATGCAGCCGGTTTCGGCCCCGCCGCCGGGCCCATGCGTGCGCCTCCCGGCCCCGCCTCCGGCGCCGGGAGGCGCAGGGAAAGTCAGCCACGTTAGCTGATTCTCCCCCCCTTTTGATTTTTTTTGTTGTTGGTGTTTTTTGTTTTTGTTTGGCTTTCAATTTTCGGCGCTGCAATTGTTTGTGAGGGTTGGGAAAGCTCAAGCTATCCCCCCCTGTCGCTCGGCCCGGTGTGAGCTCCCCTCACGGGGGTCGGGAGGATCGAGGGTCGTGGCGGCCAGGCCTTCGTCCGAGCCGTGAGCAAGGTCGGGGCCCCAGACCTCAGGCGATACTCAGGAAGGGGAAAAACACACAGACACAATTAATCGTCGATTCCCCAGAAAATATGGGAAAATATGGGAATTGGGCGGGAAGGCAAACACCCTGAAAATATGGGAAAATATGGGGCATATTTTTATTTGTGTGTATTTATTTGTGTGTCCCAGGGCCCCTTCAGATACATCCGAACCGCATAGGTAGGTTCGCGTCGTGTCGCCCGGCGGCGACCCCGCCGCTGGCGTTCACCTTTGAACGTCACCTGTAACCCAGAATCGGTCGATGTTGACCGAGCTGATGTTTCGGAAACGGCCGATCGTTCAAGGTTGAACGATCCCCGCGGTGTCAGAAACCAACGCCGCGGTCGTCACGACACGAACCTGCCGTAGGTAGGATGGGAAGCCTTATAGAGGATACCCTGACATCCTGGCCTCTTCGGCCCATCCTTAGCGACTTTCGCCGGCCAGCCTCGTTCGAAAAACGTTAACATGGGCCTCCAAGGCGCCTGCATCCTTTTCGCGCTTCCTTATGATACGGGTTGACTGCAGTTGCATTTTTCATTCTCGGGGTTCCCCTCGATTTCGGCCTCTGGGAGCCGTTGTCGGGTCACAGGACCATCAGAAACCGAGTCGGGGGCGAAAAATTGGCTTGGGGGAGGAGGTCAGGACCTCGCGGGGCCGCGGATTGAAAAAGTCACATCGTCGGATGTTTGGGAATCACGGCGGACGGTTTTTCGCTATCTTCGGCCTCTAGGGCTCTTGCCAGGCCCCAGGGCCGTCAGACGACGGCTAGGGAGGGGAAGCCAGGCCCCTGGGGATGGCAAGATGGCCATGGCCAGGCATGGTGATGGTGTGATATACAGTCGGACTTGACTGGAGAGGACACGCGAGAGGACACAAGACTCTTCCGAAGGCCACGCTGCCACAGAAATGCAGGAGGCATGGGTCGCAAGACACAAGACACGAGGGTACCTTTGATCTGGCAGGGTCGACCTACTAATCCGGGCCGCCTGTAGGAGCTTTTTTCGCATTCGAGAGTCGAGAGCACAGTTTTTGCTGCGTTTTGTGTTTGTTTTTGGGGCTTCTGGGGATCTCCAGAGGTCTCCCGGAATTTCTGGGGACTTGAGACCTCCGGGCGCCCTTGGGGAGAAGGAGGGGGAGGTGAGGGGATCTTTCATTTTTTTCCCCAACGCTCCTGTAGTGTTGGGTCCTCGTTTTGAAGAGAGCGCACCGCGTCCCTCCTCCTCTCCTCCTCCTCCTCCTCCTCCTCCTCCTCCTCCTCCTCCTCCTCCTCCTCCTCCTCCCGTCCTCCCCCTCCTCCTTCCTCCGCAGTTCGCATGCGTCTCTCCCGCCCAGTGCAGCGCTTCGTGGCCCCATAGGGAGCTCCACCGAAGGTCCCAGTGGCGCAGTTCGCATGCGTCCCTTCCACCCAGCACAGCGTTTCGTGGCCCCATAGGTAGCTCCACGGAATATCCCAGTGGCGCAGTTCGCATGCGCTCCCCCCCGCCCAGTACAGCTTTTTGTGGCCCCAGTGGTGGCTTCACCGAAGGTCCCAGTGGCGCAGTTCGCATGCGTCCCACCCACACCGTGCAGCTTTTTGTTGCCCCGGAGGGAGCTCCACCAAAGGTCCCAGTGGCGCAGTTCGCATGCGTCCGCCCACCCAGCACAACGTTTCGTGGCCCCAAAGGGGGCTTCACCGAAGGTCCCAGGAGGCGCAGTTCGCATGCGTCCCCCCCGCCCAGTGCAGCCTTCGTGGCCCCAGGGGGAGCTCCACCGAAGGTCCCAGTGGGACAGTTCACATGCGCCCCCCCCAGCCAGTACAGCGTTTCGCGGCCCATAGAGAGTTCCACCGAAGGTCCCAGTGGCGCAGTTCGCACGCGTCCACCCCACCCAGTGCAGCCTTTCGTGGCCTCATAGGGAACTCCACCGAAGGTCCCAGTGGCGCAGTTCGCATGCGCCCCCCCCCGACCCAGAACAGCGTTTCGTGGCCGCCTCCGCTGCTTCTGACGACGACAAGCCTGCCAAGAGGACAGCTGCCTCTTCTCAAGGGAAACACAGTCCCCGCGAGGAGCAACCCATCTTTCGTTGTTTTCCTGACAAGACCGAATGGTCCAGGCCTAGTTACGCAGGGAACATCAAGTTTGTGCGCAAAAGGGGATGGAGTTGGCGCTGCACGATGTGGCGACACCATATCTTGCACATGCGGAACGACCAAGTCGTTACCGCATTGAGAGAATATTTAGCCGCCAGCTCTCAGACGATCTTTGAGCGCCTGTTTTCCCGTGTCTCGCAAGACCCGTGGGTTGCCCACTGGGCGACATTCGATAGAATGGCCACGCGCCGTTTTGATTGTGCTCCTCCTAAGGTTGATCAGATTCCTGAGGGCACGTATTTTCAGCCATACCCCGACGAAATGACGAAGCTGGTCTGCAGATTATACGCGAACGCACCGGGGGAGACTCGACGTCCTGTCCGAACTCTCGAGAAGGGAGAGGTCGTGGGCCCCACTGTTGGCCCAGCCATTCGGCGGGTGACGATATACGGTGACTTTGTGAGCGTTCCAGTGAGGGGCAGCAAGACGAAAGGCGCTCCCATTTTGTGGCTGAACATTTGGGGCCCTTCGCCGCGTACCCCGCCCCGCGGCAAAGTCGCTGGGGATGGTTGGGGTACCATATATGCCCTGCCTGTTGCTAAGGGCCGACCCTGCATGCCTGCGCATGTCGTTGGGGAGGCTCTCACCGATTCAGCCAGAGCCAGTTACTTTCAGTATTTTCCTCAGCAGG